AGAATATCCTTACCCAGGTTCAATTTCCACTCTATCTCCTTTCCCTGTGTCACCTTCATTTGTTTTCCAGAGAAGCTGTGGCTGCCCCTGAATCCCTGGAAGGGTCCAAGGCCAGGCTGGATGTTGGGATTGGAGCACCCTGGGATAATGGAAAATGTCCCTGTCATGGCAGGAGTAAGAACTGGATAATCTTTAATTTCCCAACTCAAACCATTCTGTGATTCCATCCACAAAGTCACCCAGYTGTGTTGGAAAATCCTGCAGTTTTTATCGTAAAATGCCAAATGTGCAGTAAGAAAGTGGTGGGCTCCAAAAAAAAAAATCTTGCTGCTCTTACTCACATCAAAAAGCAAAGCAGGAAATATATATTATTATTATGCTGACATTAGAAAACTGAAATTTAAGTTCTTAATATTGGAAGAGAAAGAAAAGGAGGCGCTGGAGCATCCCCTGCTTCTGAAGGAACAAATATTGTCACTGCAGCTTTGTATTTCCTGGGAAAAGGACACAGGAGAAGGATGTGTCCATGAGGAAAACACAAATTCCTCACTCTGTAATAAAAGGATGGGGGAAGTCGAGTGAAGAATAATCAAAGGGCTCCATCCTTCCCTYTTTCCACCTTTATTTTTCCTTCTTGTCTTCCAAACAAAAAAAAAAAAAAAATCACCTGGAAATAGCAATGCTCCTCTCTCTTCTCCTAAGGACAGATTTGTGCAGTTCCTGTGTTTGAGCAAATTCAGACAAACCCAAAGCAGCCTGAAAAGTTTTTATTTAATTAATACCACATGACCTTGAATTATTCGATTCAATAGTATTTTTTCCCTCCACTGTTTTTAGTATTTTATCTCAATAATAGAAACAATTGGAAAATGTTCAGTTCTCCCTATGGGTTCAGTGGAATCAGAAGAATTAAAGCAACAGCAGAGACCTCCACCATCTTGAGCTAATTAATTTATTAATTAACATGCAGAGAATAATCAATCCACGGCCCAGTGCTGGGGAAACTGGACATGGAAATGCCTCCTGCAAGGATGAATGTCTTGTCCTGGCCATTGCTGCTGATCTCTGCTCTGGATGCTTCCAGAACAGCTCTGGTGGAAGAATTGGGATTCCTCATTCCAGGGAAGTGACCCCAACTCGTCCCTGGCCTGTGCTCTGCTCCTCTTTTTGGGGATTGTTCTTAAGAAGCTCCTCCTGGGTCAGAAATTCCCTCAGTATCAGATCAGAGATTCATGGAATGGTGTAAATTGGAAAAGATGTCCAAGGTCATCGAGTCCAACCATYCCCAGCACTGCCAAAGCCACCACTGTCCCTGTCCCCAAGTGTCACATCCACAGGGCTTTGAAATCCCTCCAGGGATGGGGACTCCACCACCACAACCTTTCCAGGAAGGAATTTTCTCCAATGTCTGACCTAAACCTCTCCTGGTGCAATTTGAGGCCGTTCCCTCTCCTCCTGTCCCTGTTCCCTGGGATGAGATCCCAAATCTCCCCCGGCTGCCCCCTTCTCTCATGGAGTTGTGCAGAGACACAAGGTCACCCCAGAACCCTTTTTTTTTTTGTTTTACATTAAACAAAACCCACACACAAATGGCTGCACGTGCACTKGAGTGCCACATAAAGTGAATATTGCTGTCAGTAACTCAGCATGCGAAAAAAACAGCTCCATTTCAGGCAAATGCACAAACTCACTCTATAAAAAAGGCGCATAAAGAAATGGAAAATAACCAAAATGCATTCCAGCTCCAACAGGCGTTTTATCTGTTCCAGACATTGCTAAATTCTCCAAAGCTTCACAATTCAAAGGATGCTGGAAGTGGGTTTTTAGACAACCTGTAATGTGCAATTATAGGACAGCAAACCCYATCCTGCTGCCTCTGTTCCTGGAATTATCAAGATGCTGGAAGAAACACACAACAGCAACACCTGATATTTGTGTGCTGCTCTGGCTGGCTACAGAATCAGAAAGAAAAAAAGCTGTCACTTGAAAAAAATTTTTAACTTCATACAAATGTAAGCTGTCACAAASTACCTCTGCATTGTGTTTATCCGAGTGGGAAAAGCTGCCACTCTTTTATTAACAATCCTTGCCTGCATTACTCAGTCACTGCACATTAGAACCAGCAGCTGGAGAGTTTGGAGCGATAATGAAACCTGTAACAAGCCATCCTCAGCCGTCTTTTCCAAACAATAAGGGAATTAAAATTTCAATTTAAATGCAGAGGTTCSAAACACGCTTCAGTGGCAAAATTACTTCAATTAATGCCAGCGGAATACAAAGAGCGGGCTGCAGGAAGGGGRTGCAGCAGGCTGGGGTGATGCCTCGGGTGAAATTGCTAAAAAGGGCTAAAAAGGTYTGATTCTGACCATATGGATCACACMTTAATCAGGGCTGTGATTGCAGGGTGAGGSTACAAACTCCTGGGCAGATTGCTCGGGGCTTTTTTTGAGGAATGAGCATTTGGTTACCTCGAGGAGTGAAAGCAAAGGATGGGCAGAGCTYGAGGCACGCTGCTCCCTGACAGATTAGGGATGATTTGATATCATATTCCTATCAGAGCAAAAGAGAAGGGAATTATCCCACAGCCATGAGTGATTCCAACATCACAGCCTCACAAGAGGCAAAAGCCAATGAGCCTCTACAGGGATTTTTGGCCAGGGAAAAGCTCCAAATGCAGGTGAATTACTGTTTTTTTACACAGGCACATTTGTCTTCAAATGAGAATTGCCAGTGTCAAGGAGTGGCTGAAATTAAGTGTTCAATTTCCACTTGAGGTTTCGCTGCGTTCTCTGATATATTCAAAACAGCCCAGGAACTAACAGCTGCTTTTTGTATCATTGTTATTTGATTTATTAGGGAAGATTTTCTATTGGGGAAACAAAAAAACAACCAAACACAGAGCAGCAACAGAAATGCTGCAGAAATCTATAAATCAGAGAGATCTAATGCTGTCTCTCCCTCACAGCCACAGGCAGCTTTACCCAAACACACATATTTATATATACATCAGTGCTTAAATTTAAAATAAATGCACAAAAATATTGCAAAAATCAGTAAGATATCAAATACRCAGGCTGAAAACCATTTCTAAAGCATAATGTACAATAAATCCTAAGCAATGTTRTTTTTTCTTCTTACACTTCCTATCACAGACTTCAAATAGGCAACAGATGACTTGTGTGGAATTTTGAAAGTATTTTTTAAAATTCAAAATTTCAATAATTGCTTTAATTCTGTTCATYCCCATGTCTAATCACACTTTTCGTGATTAAATTCTTCCTAATGCCCAACCCAAACCTTCAGGCTTTGTCCTCTCATCCAATCAGGCAAAAATTCCTAAATTGCACAAGAATCTCCCCTCTGAATAATGACCAAAGCGGTGAGAGCAGTCTGGGGATGAAACAGGAGGGACACAGGACAGATCTTCTCTAATAAAAATGGGTATGGAATAAAGAGAAGAYTTTAASAAAGAAGATTTTCTGSAATTTTKAATTATTTTTTTTTWAAWTYMAAAA